CCCCAATGCCGGAACGCATCTGCAAGCTAGGAGAAGACGATTCTGGGCTGCTGCTTTGGAATTTTCAGGGTCCAAGGACCCCAAATAATGGGGTCCTTTCAAAGGGGTTATAGGGGGATGTATAGGGACATTAGGGGACTGTATACGGGTATATAGGACCCAAATAATAGAGTTGCAGGGCCCAAATTCCATGCATATGTTTGTATTTGGACCCTTAACCCACATTGTTTGGGTCCTTGGACCCTTAGGGTTAATTTAAGCTACCATATTCTGGGCACATAGTAAATAATAGGGCTTCCTGATTTATAGTAACTTAACTGGGTACATAGTAATAGGGTTTCTTAAATTTATAGTAACCTAGGTTAAGTTCCCTAACAGCAACCCAGGATTTCCGAGGCAGGTGGCTTCGAACAGGAAACCGGTCTTCGTCGTGTAGAGACTGGGCTTCGTGTGGTGCTCAGGATTTTGGCTTTAAATCAGGGCTGCAAGCGGGTTCGTGGAAGGAGAAGGCTTCGGGTATAGAGATGATTGGCTCATTTGGTGGAAGGCGATTTCACTTCCTAAGCTTGAACCTGGATCCCTACGACAAACCTCGCCATAAGTTTAGACCTTCAAACAATTCAGGATGGGGCTGCCCCAGGGACGGCTGGACCTTCGTATCCAAGACCTGCTATTGGAAGATCTACAGTCCGGAGGAAGTCTTCGCCAGGACATGCTGCCAAGTTCAGGTTCACACGTTCGGCTTAAGGTTAGGAAATGGTTGCAGGATGAGTGTAGAACCTTGTTCAGTGTGGTGGTTGTGGGGGGGATGCTTTCGCCAGGAGTATAGATAGCGGGTCCCATTGGGAAGTCCTTTTTTTGTGCCTACAGAGTCTGCGCATTTATGAGCGTGGCTAGTTCTAGGACCTGAGGGATCCGCATGGCTTGTCACTCCTGTTGATATGGAGCAAGGGATTACCGGCAAGGTGTGTGCAAACGGCGTTCTCAAGCTTGCAATGGCAAACCTCAACCGGCCGATATGATGGGCCTCTGCCTCCACTCACCCTACTCCCTAAACCCTGCCTCCCTCTTAAGACCCAACGACAGATCCAGAAAGCCAGGACTGTCTCAAAGCGCCGATCGTTGTTGGTCGCAGGAAGCTCGCTGATACTAGGGATTATGCTTATCTTGGTGTTGCAGGGTGGTGCCCTAGTTACATAACATAACAACTACACAATTTAGGGTTTAGAGCTTAGGGTTTTGGGCTTAGGGTTCATTGGGGGTTGAGGTTTAGGGTCCCCTTAGGGACCCTTTTTCAGACACCACCCCCTACACCCTAAACCCTAAACGCATGTTGGAATCTTGTGTCCACCAGGAAGCTCGGTACTACGTGGCGCCTTGCAGTCCTTGATTGATGCTGGGCCTGGCTTTTGGTTTAGAGTTTCATTCGGGTTTGGGGTGTAGGGTTTTCCAAATTTCCGATAAGGATACATTGGGTGATGTAGCTAGGTGCTTATCCAGGGTAATATCAGGAACTTAGGGATTCGGGTTTTGGGTGTAGGGTTTGGGGCCTGAACAATTAACAAGAATTCAGAATCACATGGAAAACACGATGGAACATCAAATTGACACGAAGTTGTGGTCGGGCCATCGCATCCTCCTGCTGCAACTTGCGAGAAAACTGCAACCAAGAACGCTCACTCCCAAAACCAGATCCCCACTTCACAAACCCTACCCCACAAATCCCTACACCCTGAAAAACCGTGCAGCCCGTAATCCCTCAATGCGCCAGCCCTGAATCCCTACACCTTCTAAACCCTAAACCCTAACCCGCAAAGCTCTAAAGCCCTGAATCCTTGTTCCATAAGAAGTCCTAAACCCTAGACTCTAAACTCAAACCCTAAATTCAAATCCTCAACCCCAAATCCTAAACTCTAAACATTAAATCCCAAACCCTAAACCATATGCCCTCAGCGAAGGACTCCATGGTTCCCAAGGCCTGGGAGTCCTTCGCCGGCGTGCCTAGCGTCCCAGGGGAAGGCTTTGGAGGGTAGGTTTAGGGGTTTAGGGTATAAGGTTTAGGATTTAGAGTTTAAGGTTTAGGGTTTAGGGTTTAGGGCTTAGGATTGAGGCTTTGGGATTTGGGGTTGAGGGCCTAGTCTAGGATTTAGGATTTAGGGTTTACAGTAGGGCTTAGCAGGATTTAGGGTTGAAGGGTTTGGGCTTTAGGGTTTGGGGATGAGATGTTAGATAGGTGTGTGTGTGTGTGCATGTGTATGTACATATGGCTTTGCGGAGATGTAGGGTTGGGATTTAGGGAAGGCCTGGTTGGCTGGATTGCTGTTAAGGAGCGTGAAACGCAAACAGTAGGGCTTGCTTAGGTGCATATCATTTGAGCTGCGAAGCACTGTACAGCAACCCACTTGCCAAGACCTACGAGCTAGTAAGATTGAGGATGTCAGATTTAGAGTGAACGTACTTGGAATCTACCCTAAACCTAAATTGTACTGTTGCGGGTCAGAGTTACGCAGGAACTTGGGGGACCCTCCTCGGGATTTCTCACGGCGCCCATAAGGAATGTTGAAGGAGATCTCTTGAAATCCTAAAGCCTCGATCCTAAACCTGTTATTGATCCTAAAACCTAAATCCCAAAGCCCAAAACGCTCTCAATGCCATGAAGGCACTACAATCAAGTGCTGGGGATGGCTGGAGTCTCTTGGTGCCAGGAAAGTTCTGAAGACCCTTATACGCTACAAGTCTTACCCTCCCGAACACTAACATTCAACCCCATATTATAGCCTTCCTTTTACAGGACAGTAGTCAATGTCGGCCCCCTGTTGGGGTGCATGTTGGTTTGGCGGAGAATAAGGCCATGTCCTCTATAGGGTTTATAAACTGCGAGAGTTTATGGCTTAGGCTTGCGTTTTAAGATTGAGGTTTGGGCGCAGCACGCGTAGTTTGTTGAACTAGGTGTTTGCCATTTAACATGGTTGAGACAGTGAGCGTCGTTAATCACATCCCGCTATTTCTGTTTCATTGGGACTGCTCACTATTGCGGTGGGGCGTCCGTCTTGAACAGTGGAGATTTGGCATGTGGCGTTCGGTGTGAATAGGTGGTGGCTAAAAAACAATGAAACCCTTCTTTCAATTTGGATAATAAACAAGGATTGTAGTCTACTGGGACCTATGTGGGGGCCCCCTATTTATGGAAAACCTCCAGATTGAGCCAGAAGAATTGGGCCCCACCTCTCTTCCCTGAGGAGGGATTGCCAGTCACATCACCGCCAATCTAGCAGTACTCCCACAGTAGCGGCTTCCCATGTGAACGGCTTCAACTAAATCGAAATTCAAGGGCCATGTAGTTGGTTCATTGCATGATGTAAACCCTAAACCCTAAAGCCGACCGGGCTTCACAGGTGACGAAGCCAGGGAATATGAAGAAAGACGGAAAATTGTCGCGGTCCTGCTGAAAGACCAGCGTATGGGCAGCGTGTTTAGTGCTACGCTGTAGCAGCCTGTATATTTTGAAGCATTTCCCCCCCGGCCCCCCCTTGTGACAATGATGAGGTCATGGTAACAAGCTACCACGAACCCCAATTCTAGATACTCAGGCGCCTACTCCGCAACCGCTAGAACCCTCTACGAGCCATGCAGTTTCTATTTCATTCTTTTGTCCATTGATTTCTCCAGTCTCCATTTCTCTAACTGATTAGGTACGAGGTGGATGGCCTTCACTTGGCCTTCATGGACTGGCGATTGCCAAGCTATGCGACATTGGCTCCTTGCTTCAAGCAGCTGAATGCAGCTGGTGTGATAGGTTTACTGGTGTTAGGAAGGAGTGAAGGAATATCTTTAACAGGGAGGATGTAAGGATTATCTTTCCCCTATTCCCTTTATCCGCCAGTAAGAAGGTTGGGCAGATTCGCGACTAGTTCTGAGGGTTCTTCCGCCATCCAGGATCCCAAGGAGACCTGACGCTCTCAAAAGGGAGCCCGGCAGCTAAATTTCCCACACACCGCTTCGGGAAATGCATCTAGTCCAGCGAACTTTCTGATGGTCCCGGGATTTGTCAGCCGAGGCAAGGCTAGCGTTGCCCTAATCCCCAAGGCCTGAACCCTGAATCCTATTAACCTATTAATTCCATCCCCATATGACCCCTATATCCCCCCTATCATGAGGCCTGAAACGAAAAAGACTTAAACGCAGGCATTCGTGAGATGAAAATATATAATGCGAGTGAAGAGGTAGGATTCAGGCCTAAACCATTTTTTTTTGATGAACGCCATCTGTCCTTTGCAGGAAGATGCCTAAGTCAGCTTTGTTTGTATGGCTTATGTAGGTTTGATTCGGGGTCTATTTTGTAGGTAGAAGTTAGGTGGACCCCCCACCCAGTAATAGTGGCTATGCGGGATAATAAGGATTATATTAGGGTCCTCTTATATTCCTATACCCTAAACCCTAAACCCTAAACCCACCAATGCTAAATACATTAAACCACTATTACAGGGTGGGGGGTCCTCCTAAGGTAGAAAGGTGAGTGATGTAGTAAATGGTTTCAGCATCTATGGGCTCCCCGTGCTGCAGGCGTCAAAATGTGAAGTATGGGTCCCAGGGTTCAGGGTGTGGGGTTTGGGGTTTAGGATTCAGGGTTTAGGGTTTAGGGTTTGGGGTTTAGGGTTTAGGGGAACAACCTGGGCTGCTTGATACGCTCCACTGCTCCAGGATTTCAAAATCTTGACTTCTGGGTTCAAGAGTTGAAGGTTTAAGCGACAGCGGATTGGGAAGTAGGTTAGGGACATCAGCCGTAAATGCCCAGCAAAAACCTAGGTACTAGTGGTAGAGCCGTTGAATGCTGCTGTGCATCCATGTACTCCCTTCATGACTGACCCTCATAGAAGTCGCCTTGCCCTGTCAAAACTCGAAACCTTACTCCAGAAGGATTGTAAACCCCAAAACCCTAAACCCCAACCAACTCCTTCGAACCCCAGCTTCGTAAGGATCGCAAATGGGCCTCGAATCGCATGAAGAAGACGCTTTTGGAGGGCCCCGATGCTGCTGGATCTGATGGTTCAAGGGAGCGGTACGAGGGTATGAGAGATATTGGGGTTTCAAAAACCGAGGATTGCCCCTCCTGCGAGCCCTGATCATACGGATTATAGTACCGCACGATCGTATTTAGTGCCCCCTATGTATAGCAACCCTGACTTTGCTGTGTGATGTGCATATATGCAAAAAATTCCCAAGGGATTCAGAACCTAAGTAGATGCTGCAGATGGCTGTACAGGGTACTGTGCTTTTAGGCTATAATACTAATGAGCCCTAAATCCCAAACTGCTAGGGCTTGTTAAGGCTTCGCGCTGTCCCAGGACTCCAATCTTAGCAGCGTTGCGAGTTGAGAGATTTGAGATATGGTGTCTAGTCTAAACTCCTTGAAGGTGTTACATAGGGGATGGAGTACTGTAGGGGTTCCTTTAAGGGGAATACTTCTAGTTCATATGCTGCTGGTTGCTTGTATCAACCGGCGCCTGTCAATTCCAGCGGTACAGCGGGCAGTAAGAGTCCTGCATGGCCCAAAGTACCTCATACCTTGATGGAGGATTCTGGCAGTGCACTCTATACAAAGGTGGCGCAGGATTGTTTGTATCACTTTGCTGGACATCCTTTACGTAGATGGGTGGACCCCAAACACCCCTGGCTACAAGGTCTGTGTCTCATTGCCTTAGCAGCTGGAAGTTGCGCAGATCCTGGGCTTCGCCTCCAGCGCAAGAAAACCATGTAGGCCAGTTTTCTTCTAGGACGAAACCGAGCGTAATTCGATGCATGTACTTGATACTTCCGAAACCACCTTCAGACATGTAGTCTGGTCTGAAACGGTGGGGCTATCAGCGCAAGCTGTAGTATACGCAATGTGCCAGCTTGTAACTCCAAACTCCTGAAAGCCACCAGCCCCCACTCACTGCCCCCGATCCCAAGTACCCAACACAGAAGAACTTATATGCTAAGCCAGTTTAGATTGCAGAGCATCATACCTATGCCCAACAATTTACTTAGCTCGGGCGCTTTCGGTACCTAATCATGTTGACTAGGGATGTGTGGTATGTAAATCCGGGGGTGCCTCTCACAGTTAGGATGCGCCTTCTGACACCCCTAGCTTCCCAATTACAAACCTAAACCCTACACCCTAAATAGTAGTTTCCATTATATTTTTCATTTTCCCAATGGGAGACATTACAGAGCATCCTAGTAGCAAGGTTGTGGTGATTGAGTTGGGGTGGGTCTTCATGAACGGCCTGTCGCAGTTGGATCCAGAGATGAAATTCTTCTGGGGACCCATCCTCAAAGACATCCTCCCCAGGTTGCTGGAGCAGCTATAGTATAAGGTGTTCAGGGTTTAGGATCGAAGTTCTAAATTCAAAGGATTTAGGCTTTGGGCTGTTGGGCACTCCTGATTTTCAGGTAAGTGCAAAGGAGAGAGAGAGAGAGAGAGAGAGATATATATATATGCATAATATATATAATTATATACATATCTTTAGAATTACTATATACATATGTGTATATATATATGTGTGTATATACATAGTTTCCTCATGTTCCGCAGCTCTCCTGTCAAGCTCTACCAACCCAAAGCCTAAGAGCCCTAAACTTACTGGTTACTGGTAGTTAGTAGGGAAAAATGGAATATGTCCAGTACATAATTAATACGCCCTGTATAATATATTCCTTGATTTCCTAATAATCCCCCAAGAAGTAAATGCCGAGAGCCTTGAACGCTCAGTATAATCATGGCTTGTCATTGGCAAGTAGGATTCCCAGAAAAGAGTAAGAGTTTGTGATCCGCATGCTTGCACAGAATCAGAAGACAGACCCTCTGCGACCTGGATTGATGACAGACCTTGACCGTGATAAAGCCCCAAACTGAAGACCCTATGCCCTACTAGATTCCAAGCGCAGGCACCTGCAGAAAGATTTAGCATTCAAGGTTCAGGTTGTTCATGCCTCCTCTTAGGTTAGGCAAACTTACCACTGGCAGCTGCCAGCGCTTGTTTGGAAACCTCGCTCCTTGTTGCCCCATGCATGACACATCATGTTTGACAGCCCACAACATACCGCAAAGTCCTCCAAAGAGGGCTGAGCTTGAAGCATGAAATGCAAACGTGTGATTGGCTCCGTCTTCATTGCAGCCTTTTTTTTGCTTACTGGAGCAGGGTTACTAGAATCCAGCGATGTTTTGGTTCAGCCTGCTTCGTTTTCGTAGCAAGAGGGGGAGAAGAAGTTCTTCAGGGCTTGGAAGAACGCGAAGGTGGCCATTTTTTCAAGTCGCCATCCACCAAACTGGCATCGAGCCGCAAAAAAGGAGGTGTTTAGAGGACAGTAGTTCTGATACGGCCGTTTGAAGGCTTGCCTTTTGTTTGCGAGAGTTTAGATGTTCAGTTCAGGGGCTTGGTTTTTCAACTTAACTTGGAGCGTTGCTATTCGGCGATCATGGCCCGTGGGGTTTAGATCTTAGTCATTTAGGGTTAAGGGTTTGGGGTCATACGCTTTTTGCGAAACTGCGTTAGCCTACTTCGGTACTCCCGTCCGGAAAATCCAACGCTTTTATGTTGCCTAGCTTTCGTGGTAACAGATGACATTACCGCCACCTTTTCTACGAACGTTACTATCATTCTTACGTTCGTGCTTACTAGCAGTATCAAACAGAGTGACCGAGGTTTGGGGGCAAGATCATCTTTTCCTTGGGCATCGTAAGCCCCTTCAATGCGCAAATTTGCAACTCACACCACTGTGCCATCACCTGGGACGCTGGGATTGTATGAGTTCAGCGGTTCAGGGCTTCTGGGGATGAAAGGACCTTGGGGTTATCAAAATGTTGGTCCCATACTTAGTGCTGCCCCTAATATTCAGGGTGCTCTACAAGGGACCATAATTTTGATGGCCCACCATACATAAATCTTCCCTGTAGAGCCCTAAAAAAAACTCAGTGCCCAGCTTCTTTTCCATTTGTTTCTCCCAGTATTGGTAGCCCCAAATTTGGCCCCCAACCTCTACGTACTTTGTTCTCATATATCCCTATATAAACCCCTCCTTTGTACTTGGGAGTATCAGATGCACCTCGCCATGGTCTGTTGATGTTGCTTATGGATTATGTCTGGGTTTTTTCTCGGTGCTTCAAGGATCTTAAAGGCTTAATCGGGACTACATGTCAGTTCTCATGAGTCTTGTGTTCAGAGCATGCCTAGATGATGTACCGCAACTGGGTTTTAGAGGAGATTTTTCCAGGCTCTGTGGGGCCCAGCTGTGGTAGGTACCTTGGACTGCTGTAGATGTAGGAGTCCGGGTTCAAGGATGTCCTGAAGAGCTAGTCCACTGGAGGGTCTTCATGATCCGGATCCTGGTGACCTTTCCGCGTGTACCAGGTGCACCAGTATCTTACTACAACATGACACCTTCGCCACCCCGTTTGCAGCGAGCATAGGCAGCCTAATCACCTATTCCCTGCAGCTTGCATACGTCCAAAACCGAATCCCTAATTAAACCCTAAGCCCCCAAACTCATGCCCTTTGTAATCCCAATGCTGCGGGAACCCAAGGAACGTGCGCGGTATGCCCGGCACTCGCTCGCGGAAGTGGTGAATTCATGGCCGCCTAACCTGAGGCATGGATGATGCTGAACGACTTGGGAGGGATATATGTATGTGTATATATATATATATAATTATATATATGATATGGGGATATTTCTCCAAAAAAAGTGTTTATATATATATATGTTATATATTTCTCTGTGTGTGTATATACAACTATACTAACATAGGGGTTATATAGGGGTTAGGGTTACCATCATGGAGAACCCAATAGAAAATAGAAAGGACACTGGGGTTGTACAGCTTCAGTGGGACTACGTTGCAAAGTTTCGAGTCCCGGGATCTAGTCATTTTCGTAGGAAGTCTTCTTTTCACAATGCTACTGCTAGATGCTTCCAAGGAACCCTAAAGCCTAAAACCCTGAACCCTAAACCCCAACCCCTAAACAGAACCCCGACGCAGCAAGGCTTCTGCACTCGGATCAAACAGAGTCATCTAGTTAAGGAACATGTGAACATTTCCTGTTTGCAAAGAAGATCCAACTAGGCGTAGGCTGTAGGGTTTCGGGTGTAGGGGAAGATGTTCCTACTTGGCCTTCACCTAAACCCTAAACCAGTTTAGCCCCTCTTAATTCCCCCCTTTTTCAGCTCAAAAAAAAGCCTTCAAGCCTAGGACCCAGGATCCTCCTTACCCTAAGGGTCCAAGTACCTAATAATCATCTTTTACCCCAAACCTGTATTATAATTCCTAGTGCCCAAAACCCAAGTACCTGATTCTTGTGTACTTGGACCCAGAGCTTGGTTAGGATACTGTAATATACTATAGTATACTATAATATACTATAACACATAGCTTTCCGCTGAAAAGGTCTTTTAGTGTATGCTGGCTACGTGGATTCTTGAAGCAGTTAGGGAACAACCCGCCTCGGCCCTAAACCTTGAACCTCAAACCCTAGGGCCTCAAAATGTGTTATAGTATACTATAGTACGTTATAGTACACTATAGCATATTATAGTACATTACATGTGTAGGCTATGCATGTTATAGTACTTTATAGTGCACTATAGTATATTACAGTATACTATAGTATATTTGTTTTAAATTATAACATTATTATAATGCATCCTTAACCCAGAGGCAGGCAGCCAAGTCGAAGGTTGTGGTCATCGATCCTGCTCCCATGGCTCTGCCGATGTTCCTTGACCAAATCAAGTGCTTCGGGCTTTGCTTTTCCAGTGTTGATCTTCAGTTTTGTTTGTGGGGTAAGCTGTGTGCTGTCGCGTCATGAGTTTTGCTTGTAAAGTCTTTTGACGGTCAGTTAATTTTGCATAGTGTATAGTGGTGACTGTTAGTGGCCTGCTTAGGCACACTATGAATCTTTTTGTAGTACTGGCCCAGGACAGCCAAAGGTTACCACAGCAAAGACCCTTGCATTGCTTACTCTAAACGTGTGCTACAGGAGCCCTACCTTGCGCCCGAAGACAATCACACTATGGGGGCTTGCCAAGAATCAGGGGCACCATCTTGGGGTCCCCCTAAATAAGGATTATATCATTTTGGGGGTCTGTATTGGGACCCTAAACCCTAAAACCCCAAACCCTTCACCTTGGGGTTCCCCAATTTTTTGGGGGAAATTTCCGAGAACTGCAGGTCTGGTGGTCTAAGACAAACTTGTAAGGACCCGGGATCCCTTGTGAAATCCCCATGCGTACCCTCGCTTCTTGGGTTTAGGGGTTTAGGGTTTTTAGGGTTTAGGACTTAAAGGTTTAGGGTTTAAGTGTTTAGGGTTTCAGGGTTTAGGGTTTAAGCGTTTAAGGGTTTAGGGTTTAGGATTTGAGAGAGGAGGCATAGAGTTTGAGCCAACCGAGGTTCTTCGATGGGGAGACTTGCCTGTTCAGTCGAGGACCTTTCACCTTTTGAGGAAAGACAAAAGGAGGGTAATACAGTATATGAGTCGTATAACACCAGAGACCCCGAAAAGGGACGGCGAGTTTGCCAACCTGCCAAATCCTAAGAAACTAAATTTCAAACCTTTGTGGAAAAGTTTCAGATACTGGGCACCTAAGGAGACGAGCATGACCGACAAGACTCTGGGTTGCCATTTAGGCTCTTCGAAATTGTTTACCTTGTAAAGCAAACCACATATTCACCCTAAGTATACATAAGTTCATACCCACATCATGGTACCCTCGGCCCTACAATATACAGAAGCATTATACTATGAATATTTCCATACTATGGTAACTGAACTTAAGTTCCTTGACAGCAACCCAGGACTGCTTCTCAGCACTGGCATCGCTATGAACGTTCGAAAGCACCTGGACGCAAGGCCTGGATGTGGACTTCCAACAATCAGTTTAGGGGGTTAGGGTTTAGGGTTTAGGATGTCAGGTTTAAAGTTTAAGGTTCTGGGTTGCCGGTTTCTGGTTGAGTTAGGGTTCAAGGTGTTGGGTTTAGGGCTTAACGTTCAGGGTTATAAGCCTTAGGATTTGGGGCTCAGATTTTTGGGTAGTAAGATTGGTTCGGGGCTTCGGGTAGTCATGGAGGTTTAAATCAGAGCAGAGGCTTAAACTTTAGTAGCAGGATTCTTTCAGGACTTGGTAATTCCTCCTGCATGTATAGGATACGGGAGTGTACGTGAGTTCACCTAATCCGCTTACATTCACTGTATTTCCCTTTTTCCATAGCTCCAGTACGGTATCTAACAGGACTGCTCTCATTTTACGGGCCCGAGCTACAGCAATGACACCCGATGCAAAAGTGTTTTCCCCTGAAGTTCAGGAAACCGGCATCCATGTGAAACGTGGCCTGCCCACCTCACTACCCTAAACCCCGGACCTTGAGTATCCTGACCGAAATTAACCCAAAAGCCTGCGCTAAGCGCTAAACCCAAATCCTTAGAATGTAATCCCTATAACCTTTGTGCTCATAGTCCCTGACCAAAGAGTAGTTATCCCATGCCAGAGAAGGTCTTCGGGGTCGTCGCAGACACTGTCGGCAATCTGTTTCTCTCGGAGCTCTTGCGCGCCAGCCAGGCCGTTTTGCCATTCAAGACGGGAGTTTGGCTGACAGGGAGTGTGAAAGGTGCTACCTAGACTGCACCGGCAGTATATAGCAGCATTCAGCAGCCCCATATAAGAAATATGTAGGAATGTCACCAAACACATTATCCTTGCCATCGGCACCCCCTGCTCCCAAGAGGATTCACATCTTAAACACCGCTCGGATACAATTCTCAATGTATGAGCTTGCGTTACATAGGGTGCCAGGAACTGAATTTGGGCATGCGGGTTGTAATCATGCCAGAGCCAAACTGGAGCAAGAGAAGGGGCCTGAAGCCCAACAATCCCAATAGGGCCTGAACATGGCTGTGTTATCTGCCCCGAGACCCTAAGAACCACACAAGCCGTGCGAGGTTGTGCAAGCACCATCTACTGCAACCCGAACTGCACGGGCATGCGCACAGTGCCCAAGGCACAGCTGCTGTCCTTGGAGACCTGTGCCGCTGGAACTGGACTACACGCTGCGGAAGGTTTCGGGTTTTCAGCTTTTGGAGTTTGCCATGTTGAGCTTTAGGGGTATATAGCCCAAGAGACGAGGTGCAGGGTTTCGGAGTTTAACGTGTTGAGTCTAAGGGAATTAATCCGAGAGAAGAGTAGAGGAGTAGAGCGTGGGATAGTAGATTGTGTGCTTGCATTGCGAGATACTTTTGCGCGGCAAGATTCTTGATGAATGACTTTCCTCTAGTATCAAACAGCCCCCGTCCCTACCGTCCCTAAGATTTGATGAAGTACACCCTCACCGCACATCCTTCTCCATGAAAACTGGATGCACTCCACTCCCCAAACCGGCGGCTATTTGCCTAAACCCTACCCGGCCTCCCATTATGATGACCCTAGACACAAGAAGCCTTACGTCCATCTGGGAGGCTTCAGCAAAAAGAACGAGAAAACAAAGACATAGGGGAATGTGTGCAGGTGAAGAATTTGACGAAGATATCATCATGGTCCAACTTGACTATGCAGAGTTGTGGGCAAATGGACGTCAAAAATATTGCACGCTGGATGGGGTGCGGGTTGTTTGATTAAGTTTCTGCAGGGATTGTATCTGTGATCGCAGATCCACAGGGAAAGTGAGGTAGAGCTTATCTTTTGGTTCTATTGTCTGTATGATTATAAGGTCTCGTGGAAATATGGATGATGGTTCAGATGGGGTGCATGTACAATTATATGGTCTCTTGGAAATGCGGATGATGGTTCAAATGGGGGTGCCTTTTTTTGGAGCGACCATCCCAAAATCAAGCCCTCCGTCGCAGGCTGACCACTACAGCCCTACACCAGACCCACCTTGGTTGCCACATTGTTCAAAAAACCCTCAACCTCAAACCTAAACTCCGAAAAATCCTTCAACTCCCTAAACACTACAAACCGTACCGTGCCTGACAGGTTTGATAGTCTCATGAGCATGGTGAAAAAATCTGAGCTCCAAAACACGAAACAGTGCTGATTCCCGTGCTCTAGGTCAAGGCTTACCTGTAACCCGAGGGGTTCATGTATGTTCATGTACCCAATCATTGGGTACTTGGGGGTTTGTTAATAGGAATTGTAGTACAGGTTTTGGGTAAGTATATGATTATTGGGTACTTGGACCCTTAGGGTAAGTGTACCTCTTGGTGACCTCTGCGTACACTTCGGAGCCTCCTCGCTCTGCGCTGCCCCACCG